ACTGCAGGCGGGCGAGCGTGCGGGCGAGCGGACTGGGGCGCCGGCGCACGGAAGGCAGGTCCGTTAGGAGGCGGGATCGCCGGGCCTCCGGGCCAGGGACCCACCGGGACGCGGCCGCCGCTCCCGGGCTCTGGGGCTGCCGGGTGCGCGTTAGACCAGAGCAGAGGTGCCCGCGGCTCAGGGTCCTGAATCTTTCCCTTTCTTTTTGGCAGAGGGCAAGGTGTGTGTGTCTGTGTGTGTAGGGGGTGGGGGTGGGGGGGCTCTGGCTGCTGGGAGAACTGATTTCTTCCCCGGGCCCCCCAAAGGGGTTCCAGGTCTGCGAACGAACTTCACCGCCTTCGCCTCTCGGGCATCCAGTGCGCCTTCCGGCCGGGAGCCGCGCGAGGCACAGGGGCTGGAACGCGTCGGGTCTCGCCTTCCCTCTACTTCTGTCTCCCTCCCCCACCCCCATTCTTTCTGCTCTTGTCTATCGGAAAAAAAATAATAAAATTTCTCCTGGATCGTATAAACTTTCTCCACCGGTGCCCAAGTTACGGAGGGCTTCCCACCCTGACCCCCACCCCGCAGAAGCCGGTGCGCTGGCGGGTATTCCTTTGTTACCTGCGATCCGGGCGGGGGGCTCCTGTCGGCGCCGGGGCTGGGGTCCGGCCCGGAGACCGGGCTCCTGCGGCCGCCTTTGGCCGCGACTCCTCACTTCCGCGCGGTTCCGGTGAGGTCTTAGCTACCGTTCGGTGAGACACCCTCCTTGTAGGTACCATAGGTTCAGATCGCGCACACGGACCCCCCCACGCCGACCCCTGCACGCACACACACACACACACACACACACACACTCAACACAGACTCACGCACGTTCTCCCTGCACCCCCCACCGCCAGCCCCCACCTTGCCTTCCCCTCCCCCTTCCAAAAGAAAGCACACACACACACAACAGCAACAACCCCCCCCCCCCCAACCAAACAAAAACCCAAAGACAAGTTCACTGGCGGAAGATGGTGGATTGACACTGACTCAGACACAGGCAGGTTCACCAGGAAATCTGGCGGTCCCGATTTCTGACAGTTGCATTTCCTCTCCTTGAGTCCTTCCCCCCCCCCTTTTTTTATTAACTCTGTTCCATGTTTAATCAAGGATCATGTAGATGGCAAAAGGAGAGACAGAGAGAGCAGAGAGAGGAGAGAGGAAGAGAGAGGAAGCAGAGAGACAAGAGACAGAAGGGTTTTTTTTTTTTTATTGTGTTCTCCTGGATTTCCAGTGGCTTGATCCCTATAAACGTGGAGTGCTTAAAGCTCATATGTAGTATTATATTTTTAGTTGGGTGGATGGATGGAAGAGTCAGGGAGAGGCTGCGGCTGCCGCTGCCTTTTCGGGTGTTGCTTAGATTAAGGCTGAGACTTGGCTGCGATTGGGACGCGACAGTGACACGGGCATCGATCGCTTCCATTGAGAGCAATGCAAAAACACAGCCCGGGTATGTAACACTATCGGTGCCATCAACACTTGTTTTACTTTATATTTACTGGCGAAGCTGACAGAGCAGGCTCCGACTTTCTTCCTTTCCTTCCTTTTATTTCTCTTTTCTCTTTTCTAACTGAAGAATAAAAACAATTGTGCTTAGCTGTTGGAAATGATGGTTTAGATTCAACAGAAAGGAGATATTCGCGATTATTTCACTACTTCTGTAACTGATTGTGTTTTAGAGTTTTTCTTCTCCACGGAGCAGCCTATTGAAGAAAATGAAGGTTTTCCTCTTTCCTTCCTCTTCTTAAAAAAAAAAAAATCCTTAAGGGAATATTTGATAGTTTTCAACGTTTGTGGTTTCAATCAGGAGGAAGGCACACAAAAATAAAAGATGGCTAGCCAGCTGTTTTAACCTCTCACACCTGGCTTCAGTGTGGGGATCATAAGGTTTATATAGTTATTTTAAAAACGGTTTTAATATTTATGGCAGAAACTGGGGAGAGAGCATCATAGTGTGTTTATTCAGTGGCTGGTTGCTTTTGGATTTAAAAAAGTAAGCTGATATTGAAGTGTTTTCATTTTATGGCAATGAAGAGATAGTCAATGAAATATGGGGCAAATACCATAAATCTGAAAAGTGAAATGTACCTAAGGAACAAAGAAAGGTCAGGTGAACCAGCTGTGGAAGTCAAAGCCACAGCCCCAACTGTGGGGTCAGACAGGGAGAATGGGCTCTGGGTCTAGGAAGTGAAAGTTGCCACTTAAAGTTAAAACTGAAGGAAACCTGTTCAGCTCTGTTGTCATCTTTTGGCATTTTTAGCAGATGAGCTCAAGTCTGTTGGTTAATTTGGAGCTAGTAGGATTATTTGAAAAGATGCTGCACCAGCAAGGAAAACATACAGCAGGCTGAGAAAATCGCTGTTTAATATTGCAGAATTTACTACTTCCATTCTGACCATGGACCGAAATTTACACAATGAAATTTGATTATCTTTAATAACAATATTAGATCCTGCCCTGGATGGATGAGAATTGAGGTGCTTTTGTTGATTGCAAGGGTTTAATGTTGCATTTCAGAATCTGATGTGGTTTGGCCTCCCTTCCATTAACTGGAAAACCCCTGAGGTTTTACAATTATTTCTTAAAGATAATACATTTAAGATTGCATTGGTAGGCTGAAGAAAAGTCATAAAGGCAAGAAGGGAGGCCCTTAATAACTCTTGAGATTCAGACATGTTCAGCAGTTAGATTGGCTCTGACTTCACCAAGGGTCGACAATGTGTCATTTCCACGAAGCCAAATTGCCCTCTGCCTATATGATATTAATGTGCAAATCAATATTTCAGGGATTAAATTTCCCTTCTTCATTTTTTATGGTTTCTACCTCAATAAGTCTCAAGTCTATTAGAAGAGGCTGGATGATTTAAAATCTTTCACTGCAGAATGGCTTGTCCTAGTCTTGTTTCACAGACCATTTTAGGATTTTCGTTATAAAGACTAAGGACACCCTAAAGAAGTTGTGAAGCAACTCAGTGGCATAAAGCCCTGGTTCTATTAAGAGCTACGAGGTATTGGAAACATAATATATATGTTTCTGTTACACACATACATGTATGTATACATACTGGTGCTTTAAAAATATTATGTTAATCACCTATTGATTTATTTCAAAATCAATTGAAGTGCCTTTCTTATTAGTGATTTGTTCAGCATTCTTGAGGACTGTGTTCATTTTCTTAAAGACAGACATGGATTAGCTGGGTGTGAAAGCATTTGGGAGGGATTTTCACTTAGCAGTATTTTCCTAAGAAATATTTCGAGACACCATTGTTTGTCAGAGTCATACTCAAGAGCTGTCATCTGCATAGGGTGTTGTCATAGCTATCATTGCATTTGTGGCGGAGTGACTTAGCTGCCATGTGTATAAGGAGGCCTTCCATTCCTTTTACATTGATTTCCAGCACTCAGTAGGCACAGTGCTTCTTGTAACCCTCTTGGTGACACAATTGTGAAAGAAAAGATGTAATTTGGTTGGAAATAATACCAACGCAGAGATTTAGGAGGTCAAAATAAAAGATTGTGACTTTATCGCAGGATTTTGGGAAGGCCTACTGTCTATCATTCGGTGGTGTTTTATAGTCTAAAACCATCTGGACCAAGTTCCGCACAGCTGCACGAATTTCATATGTGATAGAACATTTTTTCCATTCAGTGTGAAATGTTCCTTCCTCAAAAACGTACACCAGACTCGCTTAATTTAGTCTGTTAAAAGAAATGCACATGAAAAAGGACAAAAGACTCTTTAATCTCTGCAAGCTGTTTGTTTTTCTTCAAGATTCCTGTCTGTTTGGGTTTGAAAAGTCATGTTTATTGAGGAGATGATTCTGAGGTGTGACATTAAAATAATATATGATTTTTGGACTGGTGGCCATGCTCCTGCTTAATTTGCAGAACTACTTTTTATGCCTGTCAAAACACAGAGCTAATCTATCCTTATTTACAATTAATCTCAATAAAATTAATCTTAACTGTGCTTTATTCAGTGGCTTAAAATATCTAATTATATTCAATTAACTGCTGTCATAGTAATTAACATTGCTTAATTGCCTCTGCATATATTTATGTAAAGCTCATTAGGTGCTGCTGGCTCCTTCTTCCTTTTCTACTTGCTATTTTTGCTGTTGTCAAACCATTTTTGTCTCCCAAGGTTCGACACTGTCAGTGAGAGCAAATCCTTTCTTAACATGTTCTTGAAATGAATGTCATTGCTTGCC